CCACCGGGGAACAACTCCAAGTCCCCGTGGTGTGCATCGGACAATTCACCATCCCCCTCCCGGTGGATGGGATCCCCAGCTTGAATGCGCCACAAGTAGTGGCACCCATAAACCTTCCTGCCACGAACGTCCCTCTTCCACTCCCTATCGAAACAACTTTTGCTGAACCAACTGTTGTCCCCCTGGCGACCCGCCAAAACCAGTTTGACGACCTGATGCAATGCATGCGGGCAATGCAAGCCCAAATGCAACAATTCCAACGGCATCAACTCCAGCAACACCAAGTACTACACCACCTCTCTCAACATCACTATCAGCAGCAGTTCCCCCAACTACCCCTGAACCAGTCACTGCTTCCACCTCGGCACCCTGCTCCGAAGCCGGTTAAGGCCTCCCCTCAGGGTGGACGCCCTCACCGAGGAGCAGCCTCCCAACTCCAGAACCCCCCTAACAGCCATGCCTCATCCCCAGGCCGAAGGGAAAGGAAAACCACCCCCGCCTCGCAGCTCGCAGGCAGGTCGGGAACCTCGCCCGCAAATTCTGCACCTCGGCGCTCCAAGCCTGAGTTCCCACTCACAGAGAACCGATTCAGCGCCCTGGCAGCAGACTACCAACATTCCGGGCCCGTTGAGCTCAGCAACACAGAGGCCAGTAGCGCCAGTACCATGCCCACTCAACAACGAAGGCGTCAGCGAAGTCGCCGAACTGCCACCTGTGTCCTGCCCGAGCTCAAACGTAAGGAAGAGACGAGCTCGAACGAGGTAAAAGCTGCCCAAATTCTCTCAGTTCCTTCCCCCCTCGCATCAGAACTCCTAGCAGTCCCCATGCCCAGAGACTTCAAGCTCCCACCTTCGGACAAGTATGATGGGTCCTTTGACCCCAACGACTACGTCGATGCTTTCCAGTCCCAAATGCACCTCGCTAGGGCCAATGAATCGTGCATGTGCATGGCCTTCACCACTACCTTCAGAAGGGTGGCCCGCACTTGGTACAGGAACCTAGCCCCCGGGTCGATAAGAAACTGGACCCAGTTCGTGCAGGTCTTCACCGCACACTTCGTTACCAGCAAACGGTGCCCCAAAACCGAGCAAAGCATTTTTGGAGTAGTATAGAGAGAAGGAGAATCCATCCGGGGCTACATCAAGCGGTTCAATGAAGCGTGCTTGCAGATACCGCGATTAGACCCCGCGGTRCAGCTCGCRGCGGCCAAGAGAGGAGTAACGCACAAGGAGTTCAAATGGCACATGGTAGCCAGCCAACCCGCGACCGTGGCCGAATTCCTTAAGCTCGCGAACAAGTTCATGAGA